AAAAATATCACGATCTGCGTGGCTCACGGCTGGTGTACCCAAACCTTAAAATGAAACGTGTTTGATACAGAGTGTGATGCGATGGTTCCCCTAAAAGAACGAATTAGCAATTTAGATATTAGGTACTAAACTGTGAATGGAATATAAAAAACATCCCGAATACTTTCTGAGATACGTCCAAAAAGAATGAAATCCTATATGGATAAGTGGTAATAGGGTTCATCTACTGACTGAGCTTCTAAGCTACATGTCGACCCATGCAACGAAGACTATAGTAACTCAAAAATCCTTGGTTTTTTGACTTACTATATTGTATCGATAGGTATAATCAGGCTCTCTTTGGTGAAAGAATATGATATCTCAGTCATAAAGGTATAGGCAACCAGTTAATCTTTTACGTTATATAGTAAGTCTAATAACCGACATTGCTGCCGGCGAAAACTCTAGTTATTTTAGTATCCGGTGCAAAAAGTCGTGGAAGGTATAGCAAGTTTGACTTACTATTGTTTTCGCGGCATAATTTGAGGTTATGGTGAATCATAATGCAAACGTTTTAAGTAGTAGCTACAAGAAAAGAAGTCATTTTAGAGTGAAAAAAATGAATTAAAGAACAAGAATGATTCTGGAAAATGCAAGGAAGCTAAGTGTAGCTGCCGAGCCATTAAATTCAGGTAAGTTTAGCTCATATTTTGTATTTTTTTTTACTAACGCGGGTGATGAATTCTTTTAACGCAACACGAAGCTTCAAACATAGTATTCACTTCAGATTATTCAGACATTGATCCTGATTATATGCCTGGAGAAACATCTGATTCTGACTCATCTAAGTTGCCACCTATATCTTTCTGATAAAGCCAAAACCCAACTTCAGCAAGCTCAGGGTCGTAGAAAGCGTAAGATGGCGCCCAAAGAAAAGGGAGGTAGAAAGCGTGTGAAAAATACAAGTGAGTGGGTCGAAGTCCGAGCTAAGAAAGAATAAAACTTAGGAGTCGAACACAAAAACCGCAAAGGTAAACTTATTCCCGCCAAACAGCTAAAAGATCCCTGTAAAGAAAACTGCAGAAATAAATGTCGTGAGAACATAAGTGAGGAAGATAGAAAGCTATTGTTTGAGGAATTTTGGAGAATAGGTGACCATACTAGACAATGAGATTCCATAGCAAGATATGTTAAGACAGTAGACAAAAAGCAAGTGAGAAGAAGCAATTGCGAATCAAAACGGAATTTCTCCAGGAAATATCTGCTTACTGTTAATAATAATGAAATAACGGTCTGCAAGGCTATATTCCTTAATACTAATGGGATATCAGTGGGTGACAACTGCTCTGAGTAAAATTGGAAAAAAAGGCTCACTTGAAAAATATAGAAGAGGAAAGCACTACACAATACCAAACTAAATTGATTAAGGTACCTTAAATGACATTAGACAGCAAATGAAACTTTTTCCTGTGATGCCTTCCCACTACACCAGAAAGAAATCGACAAAAATGTACTTATAAGACGGCCTTAACATTGCAATAATGCACCGACTATACTTAAAATACATGCAAGAAAAAAGTGTTAAAGAAGTGGGTAGTTTGAGACAGTATAGAGGGATTATCAATGCCGAATTTAATTTAGCATTCTTTAAACCAAAGAAGGACCAGTGCAGCCTCTGTATGCCCTATCAACTAGCAGACCCAACAGATAAACAAAAATACAAGAAAGGTGTGAAAAACACCTTTCTAATAAGAAAGCCGCTAGAGCCTTGGAAGATGCAGTTAAGGACGCGACGATCTATGATAAGTCGGTTTGTGCCGCTTGTTTTGAGCTCGCCACATAACACTTTACAGTTTCCGATATGGGAAGTCGAACGAAATAAGCAGTTGTATTTTGAGTTTTTTGAAAAATCGTAAAGAAAAAGGAGTCAAGAAAGTCGTTTTGTACTCTGACAACTGTGGGGGACAAAATCGAAATCGTTTCATCTTCTCGATAATAATAATGTTATCAATAGTCTCAAAGATTCTGGAAAGATTACTGCTACGTAGGATGAATAACGATTTGCCAGAAAAAAACTGGATCCCCAACCATCAGTTTGGATTTCGGAGTGAACACTCTACGCATACAGCAATCACACAGAATGGTACAAACAATTAATTCAGCAGTAGAAAATGAACAGTACTGCACATCAGTATTTTTGGATGTAAGCATGATGGTCTGCTGTTTAAAATAAAAACTGTACTACCCATAAAATATTTCAAAATATTGAAGTCGTTTCTAAGTCAACGTAAATTCCGAACTAGAGAAAATGAACAAACATCGAATTTCCATCCTATCAAATCAGGAATTCCCCAGGGCAGCGTTTTAGGACCAATGTTGTACACCTTGTTTACCGCAGATAAAAATTGATGAAAACAAGTCACAGCAAGTAACCTTCACACTACGGAAAGGGAACTGTTCACCAGTATATATTAATAACACAGCTGTTCCCCAGTCCATTTCAGCAAAATATCTTGGTCTCCATAAGGATAGCAAACTGAGTTGGAAACAACATATCATTAAAAAAAGAAAACAAATAGACTTGCGTGTGAACTAATTATCCTGGCTGCTTTGGAGAAGATCCAAATTATCTCTGTCAAATAAGCTTCTGGTATATAACACCATCATCAACCAATATGGGCATATGGAGCAGAACTATGGGGCTGCGCAAGTAAATCTAATATTTAGATAATCCAGAGGAGTCAATCGAAAGTACTCCGTATGCTAACTGATGCCCCTTGGTATGAGACCAATGACACAATACACAGAGATCTCAATGTTCCATTGGTGAAAGTGTGATTCGAGAGAGGAGCAAGAAACACCACAGAAAACTGGAAAATCACAGTAATACATGATTACAACCTCTATTAGAACCCCCTAACCGCAGACGACTTAAGAGATATTGGCCAGCAGACCTACTTGATGTTTGAAGAGGTCTCATCACTGGATGGGACTTCATCATGCCACAACTAGTGCTGTGAACATTACTATGGACAGCAGATTAGCTTATAGAATTGTTAATTTCTGATTGCTAATAAAGGATTGATTAAAAAAAAAAACTCGATGTTTTCTTATGCTTCTATGACTCTTGATCTGCAGATCATTCATCGATTCCTAGAAACAGATCCATCGATTCCTAGAAACAGATCACACACAAAACGAAGGCGACAGTATGCACGCTGTCATTGAAAATGCCAAAAAGCGACAACCGGCAATTTATACGCTCGATCCATGGATCATGTTGATTCGCATGGCGAAAGTAACCGGAAGCCCATATATTGTGAAAGAGATGTCCCAGAATGACTTTGTGAGTCTTAAACAAAAGGTAAAATCGGAAAATTGGAACAAAGACTCATGATGTCAAAATAATAAAATTGAAGAAAAATCATCGAAGAATGAGAACGAAAGATAATACGCTTCAGGAACTACCTTTACTGTACACAAGCTTGCTTCCAGTAGATGCTAGAAAACTGAATGGCTTATTAGACCTATGTAAACCAAAAGCAAATGGTCTTCCGAGCATTCCTCAGGCAAACCACGCTTTTTATTTCTCTCTTAAAGGCAAGGAAGATAAGAAAATACAAAAAGGACAGAATATTAATAGTGCTGAATATACAGAAGTTGAGAATGATGATAGTGAAGAACACGAAGACGACTATTTAAGTGATTCGAATTAGCCTTGAACATTTTTTATTCGATAATTTGTTTGAGAAATACCGTAATATTTCAATAAATATCCTAACGAGTTTATAGTAAGTGTATTTTTTTCCTTAATTGATCCATCGAAAGCTATAGTAAGTCAACAAAGTTTATCAAAAAACGTCTTTTTATGCGAGTTTGTATTGTGATACCAATTATAAGCCTTTATGTATGATGGCTACTAGAATGTCCGAGATATTTTAGACTGGATCATCATTTTTCTAGCTACGAGATACATCAGAAAATCTTCTGATGCCTGTATCTCAGTTCAATCAAAAATGAATTACAATAGTCTTCGTTGCATGGGTCGATGGATAAAGCTCTAGATGAGAAAGCAGTGAGAATATTATTAAAGTTCAGTAGCATTCTACAGGGTGTCCCGAAAAAAGTGTGCAATATTCTACCAGCGGCTGCTAGAGCTTAAAATAGGAAGAAAAGTTTATATAAACATAGATCGACAAACGTCTCCTAAGGGCTGTACGGTCTTTTAAAGGGGCTCCCCTGACGATGGTTTTTCCTTAATATTTCCGAAACGTCTTGAGATACAGACATAAAATTTGGTATTCTAGCCTAGTTTTTTATGCTGGATTTAAAAATATTAACAATTTTAGACAGTTTTGTTTGGAAGCGTATGTAACAGGGACGGACTCAGGTTATTCTAGCCCCAACATTTTTGTGTGATTCTATTTTTGAAATTCAATTTTAGAATTTGAAAATTTAGGGTTTTCTACATAAAAAAGGTACTCTTATTGAATATCGATAAATTGTGCCATTTTTAAATAAAATTAAACTAAAAAATTTGTCACATGATAGGAAATGTAGGGGAGACCGGGGTTCAAAGTGCCGGGGGTAGGTTGTTCCGATCCGAATAGCTCAGCGATGAAAAGAGATAACAATAGATGTGAAGTGTGTTGCAAATCGTCGTACTAACGCGCTATTGTGTCAGCCATTTTAGTGATGCCGTGACAGCAGGTGACAGTGGTAATCGTTAGTGGTGTATAAAAATCACGTAAGTAAATTTTTTCGTCTCTAGTCTTTTTGGTCTAAATCATTTAATTTGACTGCTATTTGTGCCTGATTTGCAGAGTTGAGTTGGGCAAACTATAGCGAATATCTTTTTATTATCATTCTTCCATTTTCTTAACCTATTCTATTATAATTGGAGGATACCTTGGAAATGGGATTTGGGGTTGAAAGTTCCTTTGGCGGGGGGCTAGTTGTACCGCGGAACAACGTGCCCCGTAATGTAACACGTTAATAATAGAAATCAAATTTGTTTTAGGATGAGAAACTACAAACGGAAAACCGAACGAGGCAAAGTTTCGATTGACTTGCTGCAGCGGGCAGCTGATGCTGTTATTAGAGATGGTCGTAAGCTTAAGACGGTCGCTCGAGAACTGGAAATATGCCACATGACGTTATTTCGTTATGTCAAAAAGTTGAAGGCCGGTTTAACACCCACTGTAGGCTATTATTCCAGACAGGTGTTCAACCATGACCAGGAGAAGACATTAGCCGAGTATTTGTTGAAGTGTGCTTCAATCTACTTTGGCCTCTTGCCAGAAGAAGTAAGGAAATTGGCATATACTTGTGCTATTAAATTTGACATGCATAACATTCCTGCCTCTTGACATAGAAATAAAGAAGCTGGAGCTGATTGGTTTACGGGTTTTTTGAAAAGAAATCCATCCTTGTCTATAAGAACTCCTGAAGCAACAAGTGCAGGTCGTACATCTTCTTTTAACCGGCACAACGTTAAGGAATTCTTCAAGAAGTTTGGAGACGTCATATTGAAACACAGCTTCCGACCGTCTAGAATATGGAACTTGGACGAAACAGGAGTCACCACTGTGCTAAAACCAAAAAAAAATAGTAGCCTCAAAAGGAGCTAAGCAGGTAGGTGCCATAGTATATGCAGAGCGGGGAACCTTAGTTACCGTCGAATTAGCAGCGAATGCAGTTGGAAATACTATCCCCCCTATGTTTGTTTTTCCTCGCCTCAAGTATAAAGACCTATTTCTTCGTGATGGTCCCCCAGAAAGTATTGGAGCAGGAAATAGTTCGGGATGGATGACGGCTAAAGAATTCCTTATCTTCATGGACCATTTTATTAAATATACAAAGCCTACACCTGAGAATCCAGTCTTGTTATTGCTTGATAACCATCAATCACATGTTGACATTGATGTTGTTGAAAAGGCAAAGGTCAATTCGGTTGTAATGTTGTCTTTCCCTCCACATTGCACTAATCATTTGCAACCTTTAGACGTTGGCGTTAATGGACCGTTCAAAACATATTGTACCAAAGCTCAACAAAACTGGTTACGTAACAACCCAGGAAAGACAATGTCTATCTATGAGATACCTGGAATTGTAAAGATTGCATGGCCTGTAGCAGCGACTCCCAATAACATAATGAACGCGTTTAAAAAAGCAGGCATAAGTCCATACAACCCTGATATATTTACGGATGAAGATTTTGCTCCGTCTTTTGTGACTGACCGACCTCTGCCTGACACTAACATATCGTTATTGGAATCAACTCATAATGAGGAATCACAGCTCGAAAAAATAACAGATCATGAAGAACCTGGGTTGAATTGTAATATGGAAGGCATCCCAGATATCGAGCCACGTCCAGCGACAACAGGACCCGTGACGAATCAACCTCAACCAGGACCTTCAAACATTGCCGATTTCTCAAACAATGTTGTAATTCAAGCCACATCTCGCATATTTTCCCCTGAAGCTATCAAACCTTTACCAAAAGCACCACCAAGATCATCTACAGCAACTAAGCACCGAATTAGAAAATCAGCAATACTGACAGATACGCCTGAAAAGAACGCTTTAGCTGAAGAAAAAGCGAGAAGAGTGAAAAGCAAAACCAAAACAAAGGGAAACAAAATTGAAAAGAGAATTGGAAAAACAAACTCAAACAGTATAGACAAGCAAAATTGTAAAGTGATAGGTAAATCCGTAAGTGGTAAAAAAAATGTGAAACGGAAAATCCTCCAAGACGATCATGAAAGCGACAGCGAAGAAGACAGTCTGGAATGGTATTGTTTGATATGCTGCGACTCATTTTCCAATTCAAAACCAGGAGAACAATGGATTGAATGCGTCAAGTGTAAGAATTGGGCTCATTCAAAATGCCTAAAATCTGAAGATATACATTTTTTTGTTTGTCCGAATTGTGATTCGGATGACGAATACTTTGAATAATTATCTTTTCTGTGAAAAAAATATTGATAACTAAACCGTCTATCAGATTTTTGATCTCATTAATGTTAGCCGTATGAGACTGAATAAAGTAGGTAACTCTAACTATATTTCAAAATGTTACATTTGGTTGATTTCTCTTAATGTTTCGATGAAAACACATAATTTGCGTTCATAATAGGGATGTTTTGTTAGTCTTAAGTTTAGTAATTAGGTGCAGATTTTACATTATTACGAGCATTATTACTAATCACACTTCTTAATACCTTTTAAGAGTATTGTTTTCGTTAAATCTTCAAAGTGTCTTGTGAATTCGTTTAAAATGTTACACATTTACGTTTAATAAATAAAACTGTCATTAATATCGGATACATGTATGTCTTATTTATTTTATAATGACTGGAGATGACAGCGGCACAACTTACCTCAACTAAGGAACAACACGCCCCTTGAAGGGGGTGGTTGTTCCTTATCGACCTGCTACAAAAAATTGGTCCTAGGCCAAAATAGATTGTCATTTCAATGAATTTAACAGTTGAAAGTGAAACTAGAATAATTTCCGCATCTATTCATATAGTAATCATGTATTAAAAAACTGTTTATTGCATTCATATTGGGTCCTACTTCAAAATCGGAACTTCGAACCCCGCGCTCCCCTACTGCGAATTTAAATGAATTGATTATACAGAGTTAGCCATGACTGCAAACAAAAGTTGTTTTGATTTTTTATGACTTATGTTGACGTTAAGCTGACATTATTAGCAGTGTAAAATTACTAGATTAACATCAAAATTTTTATTAAATCGATTTAACCGGAATTTGTCAAACCATGGAAGTTTTCAGCGCATGCAGCGCTCAGGAAGGCCACTGGGAAATCATCGTATGGATATTGCTTTAAATATGTTTTAGCTCTAGAAAACGCTGGTAGAATATTGCACACTTTTTTCGGGACACCATGTATATTAGGTTAGGTTATGTTTCTGGTGAGTGCATCAATAACGATCCTCTACTGCGACTCTCTGGTCTATTTATATTTCCCCCAGTAGCTCCGACCTCCTGACGAAGTCGATCAGCTTGTTTGGAAAAATATCCTTCAGGTCTTTTGTTTGGAGTACTACGTCTCCAAGTATGTTGTACCTGATTCTGGCAATTGCAGTCACAATACATTTCATCTCCCTCCAGTCTGCACTCAGCGTCTTCCGCCATGCCCAGCCTGCTCATGTGGTGGCGCAATTTGCAATGACCAGTGTACAGCCCTACTAGAGCTTTGAGGCTATTCCTGTTCAGCCGTAGCAGAGAGTCTGTCACCTTCTTTGTCGGGAATGGTATAGTTGCCTTAGCATGGGTTAACCCTTCTAATCCCTCCCATTATTATTGGATGTCCATCTCTGCAGAGATTATTTGTTTAGCGGTATTGAATGCGATCTTAATCGCTGGCTGAGGCCCTATGAAGGGTACCAACAAATACTCCTAGAGAAACTATAAATTATTTAGAGGACTATGTGAAAAACCAACAACATTTCTCTGAAGTAGAAAATCAGGCTTCACCAAATGTGCAGTAGAAGTCCTACAAGGGTCCACATTAGGATCATCTATTAATTTAATCTTTTATGTCGGTATTGAAACATCGGATGACTTAGATATTTACCAACCGAGTGATTTGGTTATACGTGTTTCTGAAACGTCAATTTACTACAATTTTAGTCATGAATCGCTCTACACCGAAACAACGCGCCGAAATAGTCACAATGTACATTGAAAAACGTCGTTCAATTGTGTTAACGCAACGTGCATATCGTCGAAAATATCGTGGCAAACAGGCACCGTCTGACAACACTATCCGTAGTTTGGTTTGGAATTTTCTTGAGTAAGGGACAGCGGGAGATCGTCAAGATACCGTTCAACAACGACCAAATCGTTCCAATGAATTGTTTGAAGCGTTGCCCAGAACCCAAAAGTGTCGTATTGTCACCGCGCTTAGCATTTTGGCATCACTGGAACCACATAGCGGCGCATTTTGGAGGATGATTTGAATTTGTTTCCTTATAAGGTGCAGTTAACACAAAAAGTATTGCCAACTCACCGTCCCCGTCGCTTGGAATACTCCCAAACAGTCGCTGGCATGGTTGATGCTGAACCTGATTTTTGGAAGCAAATTGTGATGACCGACGAGGCCCATTTCACGCCCTCTGGCGGCGTTAATAGGCAAAACTGCCGCATTTGTGGGACGGAAAATCCACACGAGAATCACGAAATGCCGTTGCATGACCGGAAAGTGACTGTTCGGGCCGGCGTTTGCGCCAAACCCATCATTGGACCATTTTTCTTCAACGAAAACGAAACAGTCGATAGAAATCGATATCGGTGGATGTTGGCTCATTATGTCTGCCCACAAATGCGTGAAAAAGGTCTTGATGGTTACTGGTTTCAACAAGACGGTGCGCCATGCCACACAGCAAATGAAACAATCCAGTTTCTGCAATGAAAAGTCTGATGTCAAAAAGAGGTCACATTGACTGGCCACCCAGGTCTCCAGATTTGACCCCACTGGACTTCTTCTTGTGGGGTTATTTGAAAAGTCAAGTGTACGCCAGAAAGACCCAGTCCACGGAAGAACTCAAGGCAAACATTCGTACCGCAATCGCCGCTATACCGCCAGAGATGCTTGAAAAAGTAATGGAAAACGCAGCAAAATGGGCCCTTTTTGTTTTGGCCAATAAAGGCTGCCACCTGATAGATGTTATGCTGAAAAACTAGTCTCAATAAATGGACCATATTTAATAAAAAATACCCGACATATAGAAATCAGTTTTTCGTGTTTACATACCGACACAAAATATGGCGCAGCCTGTATATACCAAATACGTGACGGTGTATGGGGTTGCTCTAAAGAATGCCAGAGAATTTTGGTTCTACAAAAAAGAGCGAACAGATGCATAGCTGGCGGGCACAGGGGAACTAACTACACGCAATTATTTAAATACCTTGGTATTTTTACTAGTGACCGACCGAATCTTGATGTTCAGCCGAAACCGAAACCGGAACCGAACCTTCGGCTTCCGTCCTGGTTTCGGCCGAAACCGAAACAGAAACTTTCCTTTGACTTATGGGCAGCAGCGGTGGCCGCAGTAATAGACTCTTCGGTCTCCTGGTCAGTCGCCGTGCGCTGTGCGGGTTGGAATCCCGTCCCAGGAGAAATTTTTCTCTTTTCTATGGATGTTGTGATTGTCCGTAGGTGTTAGATGGTATCTGACTGTCGAACGCGGAGGTACCACCCGTCGGATTTCGTAGGCAGGGCCACAATGTGTGCATGTTGCATGCACACGTGTTCCCTCGCCAGAGTCCGTGTGGCGTTCCCCCTGACCCCTGTATCCCCCTGTAGCCCCACAGTACCCCATGGGTGTTCAGGCCTTAGGCCTTCGTGGTAGTTGGAGTATAAAAAAAAAGAATGAGGATGTACATGATTCTTCGATTTTAGAGGTTTACGAAGTTATTAAAGGTCTTTGAAAACGTATCTCCCATAATGTATGTTTTTCTTGTTCAGTAAGGTTAGGTACTTGAAAAAACACAAAAGTTAATTTTTGAAATAAAATAATGTATTCCATTAACATGTTGGTAGTTGAAATACTAGAATAATATAACAAAACGAATCATAAATAAATATCTATTATCTATTACATTGCACTTATATGAAAACAAACATGTATGTCCTGTAACTTCCATAAACATCACCAAAACAACTAAGAGTTTTTAACTCAAAATAGATTTTCTATATAGAAATTGACAATAAACTAGTAAACATAACCAAAAAGCCTTATATTATATGATAAAAAAAGTAGTTTTTCCGCATTTTCTCCTAGCAAATTGCTTCGCCGATCTGCATATATTTGCCCAGCAGCACTGAACATTTGCTCGCTGGGGATACTGGTCGGTGGTGCAGACAGGTATTTCAACACCGCTTTCCTCAACGTCGGGTAGGGGCTGGAGTTCCAATAAGAAAATATGTCGGCATTCCGTTGTAGTCGCGGCTCCGACAAATAGCACTCGATTGTTTGTTTTAGTATAGAAGTTTCATCATATCCATTATTATCACATGGTGTACCGCCGGGGTTATCGTCATGGGTATCCCAAAGACTTTCGTCTTCTTTCTGAATATTGGATTCAACCAGCACTGGTTCTGCAGAAGAAGAAGAATGAATAGAATTTCTGTTCACCGCGCTGTCGCTACTACATCTGATCAAAAAAGATACAATTTCTGTGATTCCGATGTCAACAGCATTGGGAGTTAGATACTTCGATTTGAAACGTGGGTCCAGCAATGTTGCTTCAATTAGCGATGGATGCTCTTTCAAGAGGGACATTCTTTGGTTCATTGTCTCATATAACCGATTTTTCGTCATTGTCATACCCTCATCTTCGTTTTCCATTCGAGCTTGTAATTTCCGATTGAGTAGCGATATTAGAGGTATGATTATAGAAATACAAGCGTCATTCAATGATAAATCAAGGGTGGCTTCGTAAAAGAACTTCAATACTTCGACGAGTCGCTTCATAATTTCCCATTCGGTGGGACAAAGGGTATCTATTTTACCATGCCGAACAGTGTAGAGGTTTATAGCATTTTTTTGCTCTAACAGCCTCTGAAACATCAAATAGGTACTGTTCCATCTTATATCAATACTTTGAACCAGAGCATGTTCTGGCAGCCCGCATTGGATTTGGCATTCTTTCAATTTTCTTGTCGCTGGTTCACTGTGGTGGAAATGGCCTACTATCTTCCGACATTTTTTTATAATTTCTGTGGTGTCTTCATCAGCAAATAACGATTGCTTGATCACGAATTGCAGCGTATGCGATACACAGCCAAGAGACTCATAGTGTCCTGTCCGCATTGCACATGCCATATTTGCGGCATTATCACGCAACACTAAAAAAATCTTACAATTTAAGTTCCACTCATTGATCATTTCCGTAAATTTTCGTTCAATGTATTGACTAGTATGGTCTTATTCCATAACAGCTGCGCCTAATATAACTTTCAGGCGTTGATGCTCTATAATGAAATGACCTATGAGACTGAGAAGGGAACATGATTTGCTAGTGTTGGTCCATATGTCGGCAGTCACACTTAACCAATCGGATTTTGTGATTAATTTTTTGACTTTAGCCTTTACTCGTTCGTAAGTTTGCGGCATTAATGTTGTTCGGAAAAATTTTTCACTCTTCAGTCTATATTTATGAAAAGCATCAGGATCAGCAAAATTAAGTCTTTGGAATGCTTCACCACTGACCAACGAATACGGCAACATATCGACAATTATCAAATCCACAATCGCTTTGTCTATTCTCCGTGAAATTTCATGATCATCTGGCCATTGTACACATTTAGGTCTAGCCAAACTCGGAATGGTCGACTGGACCAGGGTAGGTTGATTACCCTTATCAGTTTCTAAAACCGCTAGAGAGACTTTAGTTCGTTTTTGTATTTTTATTTCATTTTTTATGTTCTCTAATTCAGACTGCCGGTTTAAAACTTGTCTGTGTTCTGTGCCATGGAACTTACTTAAATGCTGCTTCACTCCATATAGTGTTTGTTTTTTGGGTTCTTGACTTCCTAATGAGAGCGACTTTTTGCAGATTTTGCAAACTGCCTTAGATAAATCATTTGTGCTCTTTTAAAAAATAGGATATCTTTCTCTTTGAGACATTTCTATCTGAAACAGATAATTTTCAGTTTTCACTCGATAATCAAATATAAATTGAACTAATATTATTGATCTTCATTGTAATTATTCATTAATTACAGTAAAGTTTTATGAGCTTTTCTTTGCTGTTACTGAGATAATTGTGTAATATTCTACGCGTATGACCTACTGCAGAACCTGGTGTAAACTGGTGATTTATTACTCTCCCTCTTATTTGGAAATAGAAATTATCAATAATTATAATATAGTATATCCAGAATACATAATTACTAAATACTTACCTATATTTAATACGCACACTACCTAATAAATGTAATAAATGCGTGACCAGCTTGTCGGCGAAGATCAAGTGACGTGATGAAACGCGTACGGACACGAAGCGATCGCCCGACTACAACCGGACATATCCCGAGACCTTACGATCGTATGTTTCGGCCAAGCCGAAAGTTTCGGTCAATTTGCTGCCGAAACCGGAACTTCGACCGAAACCGGTTATTTGGCCGAAACTTGGCCGACACCGAATCCGAAACCGAAACTTCGGTCGGTCTCTTGTATTTAATAAATTGCCCGATAAAAATTAAAAACCTATTATCAGTTTTAGCAGAACTGTATAACAAATGTTGAAGAACAGTAGTGAATACTATGAAGGAATATTTTTATACAGATTACAACCTACAGTATATATGATTTATGAGCGCGTTCTTCTTCATGTCCGATGGATTTCATGTGTATTTTAAATTTTTTATCATCTTGTTGTCTATATTATAACTATTGTTTTTATGATATATGTGTAATATTTACAGTTTGGAATTGTCGCTTCAACTGATATGCACCATGCATATACTGTACGTCATGTTAATTTAAATAAATAAATAAGTACATTATGTAGATACAGGTGACGTACTTATTATAACTATCCTTCTTCACTTGATTATAGAAATATTTTAGAGAACAAATATTAAAAATCTGAAGCTTGATATGACTATTATGGCTGAGTATTTATTTTACATAATAGTTAACTTGATCGACAGACCCTATGACCAGATTACTTATCAAGAAGAATCACACATACCCCGTTTCGATGGGTTTTGTGTCAACTTATCACAGAGTTCCCATATCGACCTTCCGCCACCATAATCAGATTATCTCCATGTCATAATAATATTGTTTTATCATATAAAGATCTCCACCATACTGAATTTAAGAGGACCCTTTAGTAATTGTGCTTCGCACGCCTCTTCATTCGATACTCATATAACGTTTATACGTATAAGTGCTCATTTTGCGAAGGCCGCAACTGAGACTAACTTACTTTGCTTATTGTATTTCTCTCATCAAGGCCTTTTATTTAATACCCATATCATAGAGGTAACTATGGAAATTATGAATCGCGATTTTCCGGCTGTCGCCATATGGGATTTATAATGATTATTGTGCTTCATCATTCCCAATGGAGATTACACAAGGTGATTTGTTTGTGGCAGCAGCCATATTAGATTTATAAGTTGTTCATTTTCATTATACAGGGTGACTTCGAAGTTGAGTCATTTATTTTAACAGTGAGTAGATCTGATCAAAAGAAATGTTTTTTTCCTTTACCATTTTTCTGGTAAAATTAAAGTAACAAAGTTATAGCCCTTTGGAAGTTTGAGTACCGCCCTGTCTCAATAATGATATTATGTTCTCGTGTTTGGCAACAACAGATATAATCCGCCTTATCCGTTCATCGCATCGGAAACAAAAAAGCGAAAGAATTTGGAACGATCTTTTTGCAATTATTTTCTTCAGTTGTATACAGTCAGTATCAGTCGGTAGTCGGTAACGCGTAAGTGAATAATCGTGTCTGTTGCGAGAATCAAATCAAAAATGGCACATGTTTACGAAAATGCTGAACTTGTGGACATGGTTCTTATTTACGGGGAGTCTTTACAAAATGCTGCCGTGGCATCACGGATCTATGCGGATCGGTTTCCCAATCGAGTGCAACCAACCCCTCGTGCCTTTGTTAATGTAGTGCAAAGAGCTCGTGAATCAGGTGACTTAAGACCTCACAGAGGAGATCATGCCGGTGCTCCAAGACCACACGATCAAATAGAACTAGAAGAACAAATTTTAGAATTAGTAAGTGATGATCCAACAGTAAGCACCCGACAAATTTCAACTCAATTGGCGATTAGTCAGTATAAAACTTGGAAAACTCTACGTGAAAATCAGTTCTATCCGTTTCACATACAAAAAGTGCAGGCCTTACAACCGGAAGATCATGAACAAAGGGTTGACTTTTGCAATTGGCTTTTAAATAAACATCAAAATGATGACAATTTTTTAAATCAAATTTTAGTGAGTGATGAAGCCCTCTTTACTAGAAACGGAATTATTAATTCACGTAATTCTCACGTTTGGGCTATTGAAAATCCCCATGAAATAAGGGAAACCAATTTTCAACAGCGATTTGAACCAATTAACCTGTGGGCGGGAATTGTTAATGGAATTTTAGTGGGGCCTTTTGAATTACCAAATCGCTTAACTGGTGAAAATTATTTTGATTTCTTGCAACACAATTTGCCTGGTTTACTGGAAGATGTGCCTTTAAATATTAGACAAAACATGTGGTTTTTACAAGATGGGGCACCACCCCATTATGCAAGAAATGTGCGTGAATTTTTAAATAGACAATTTAATAATCGTTGGATCGGCCGTGGCGGTTTTGTACCTTGGCCGCCAAGGTCTCCGGACTTAAATCCTTTAGACTTTTGTTTGTGGGGTTGGCTAAAAACTCTAGTGTATAAAACACCGGTTAATACACGGGAAGAATTACGTGCTCGAATTGAGGAAATGAGTACAGTGATCAGAAATCAACCAGTGATTTTATTGCGTGCTTGTAAAGAGACATGGCTAAGACGCGCCCAGCTGTGCGTCGAGCAAAACGGAAATCATTTCGAACAGTTTTTGTGACATGCTTTTGGGCGCACAGGTCCGCACTGAAATACTTGTCGGGAGGATACTTTATAAAACAAGGTAACATTTTTTTTTTATTTTTTTTTTATTTTTACACACATATTTTGGTTTATCTTCCTTCTACAATCATTATTTGAAAATTAATGACTCAACTTCAAAGTCACCCTGTATACTCACATCATAGTGGTTACTATGAGAACGATAAATCTCCATTTAATACGAGGGCCGTTCGATAAGTCAGTGAATTTCCCGCGCAGTAAATTTGAATGCAACACTGCTGCCGTCAACTGCCATCTTTTATATGACAACTGTCAAAATTTGAGCAAGCTATGTCATTTCATTTGAGTTTGACAGCCGTTGAAAGTAGACAGTCTCGTAAATTCTAACAAAAATGGAGAAAAGTGAATTTCGTGTTCTAATTATACATTATTTTTTGCGTAAAAACCCATCACTGCAACCAAGGAAAGGCTTGACAATTACTATGGGGACTCTGCACCATCTATTTCAATGGTGGTCGTGGTCGTGGTGGTCGAACCAGCACAAGTGATGCCGAACGTTCAGGTCGCCCAAAAGATTTCATCATCAAAAACGACCGCATTTGGCGAAAAAAAATTACTGTTCCATCAAGACAACGCACGGGTAAACACGTGTGTAGTCTCGATGGCTAAAATTCATGAACTTGGCTACGAACTGCTGTCCCATCCAGCCTATTCTCCAGATTTAGCCCCCAGCGACTACTTCCTATTTCCAAACTTGAAAAAAATGGCTGGGTGGTAAGAAATTTGGGTCAAATGGAGAGGCCATCAGTGAAACAAACGCATATTTTGGGAGCCTTGATAAAAACTACTCTTCGGAAGGAATTAAGAAATTGGAAAAACGCTGGACTAAATGTATCGAGCTAAAAGGAGATTATGTTGAGAAATAAAATGCTTGTTAGCCGAAAAACATACACATATGAGTACTAACAAGTCAAGTTAACTGGAAGCTTGCAAAAAACATGCTACTTCTTATCGGCGGTCTGACTGTGCATTCATTCTACTGTAACAAAGGCGAACATGCTTAGTACGTTTCGAAAATCGGTCCAGTACCGGAGAAATATGAGCGAAAAACGGAAAAATAAAGAAAGTCCCAAACGTTGTTTTCCAACTTTTTAGGCCTACTCACTTTTCAACTTTTTGATCAGATTCGTAATCAAAACAAATTTTGATTAGGCTAAAAAATTTGAAATCAGGCATTCCTAAAATGCAAAGTCGGATTCTACTTGCTCCACGTTTTTTCGATATTCTTACTGCGTCCACAACCTGTCGTGGGGTGCGGATTTTCTGGTGGGCATAATAATTAATCACCTAGAAAGTTTATTAGAACGTTGGACGGTGTGTAAGCGCGACTCGAAAGGGTAAATTAAGCTCTTAATTATTCAATAATCAATTAATTAGAGAGCGCCAGAAAGCGCGCCAATGCAGAAAAAATCCATTAGCGATTAAATCATGACAGGTAGTCAGGTGGAAAATGAACCACCGCCATCGCGCCCGAGCGCCAGAATGGGAGCTTTTCATTTTTATTTTCATTCAACCACATACAGCACAGCTTAACCTCAGTGTTGACGTAATGTTGTAAAAATACACTGTTAGACCAAATAATAGTTATATCAAGAGAAGTTACCTACAAGGCGAACAAATTCGAGAGAGATAAGAGATATATCCAAAAGCGTGGCGACCACAAAACAGCTGATGTCGCCTAAACGCGTGCTGTAATTACTTAGCGAGAGATAAATAGGGTGACGCCAGATAGATAATCGTTCTTGAACGGATTAGTTGACAATCGCTTGTAGTCAAATAATTTTGTGTTCAAATTTGTTTTTGATTGGACATTTATTCATGGAGTGAATATCTATCATCCACTTGTACCATACGAAACATATTTTTCATTCTACAGAGTGTAAACTTTATGATAGTCATTATTTAAATGGGTGATAGAGGCGGTTAAAAGAAGCAAAAAGTTTCATATAACATCGGGGTGAATACGGCATTTTTTTAGAGAAAAGCGACTTTAAACGCCGCAATGCCAGACGAAAATTACGACGGAACGCAATGCAAATAAAGATGGAGTTTGTTGTTTTTGGCCCTTAGGTATTATTTCATTATTTGATAATGTACCCGTAAAATGCAAACAGTTAAAAAAACGGACTTGCCACTAACTGTCTCAGAGCTTCACCTGGTGTGTGAAAGTTTACTGAACGTATAAAGAAAATCCACTTATAAATAAGGAACACAATTTTGAAACATAGATTGTTTTTCTTTTTAAAACCCACACTGCACTTTCTTTGTATTTAAAGAAAATGTTCAAAATGTCCTCCATTTTCCACACAAGCTTCATTACGACGAACCCAGTTTCTTCTTACTCTAGGTCCTCGAAGTTGTCCATTTATTATTTCAGCCGCATTAAATGTTTTTTCGCGAAGTTGTGCTTCAGTTGTTATTGGAACAGCCCCATAAACGATCCCTTTAAGTTCTCCCAAATACCAGAAATCCATCGGATTGAGGTCAGGAGATCTTGCTGGCCATTTTTGAGGATCAGGAGCCTTTCGACCGATCCAGCGATTTGGATGATGTTCATTCAGATCCTGAATGACGCTTCTAAAATTGTGTGGTGGTGCCCCGTCATGAAGAAACCACAAATTCTGTCTCCGTTGTGATAGCATGTTTTCTAAGGTCTGTTCCAAAAGTTCTGGTGGATTATTGGCTAGAAAGCT